CAAGGCTGATGACCTGACCTGAGTTCAATACCCAGGACTCATTTTATAGGACTGACTCCTTCAAGTTGTCCTCTGACTCCCACACATATGCTATGACATGTGCCTACCATAGATAAATAATGGTGAAATTTTAGTGTATTTATGTGTGTGCATGGGTGATGTATCCGTGTATACCCACGAGGGCGTTGGGGGTCCTTTTCACCATTCTCTCCCTATTCCTTTAAGGCAGCGTCTGTCTCTCCCTGAATCTGAGGCTCCCATTTTCTTGGTTAGGCTGGAAGCCAGCGGGTCCTGGTGATCTCCTTATTTTTCTTCCTTCTGCACACCTCCCTCCCTCCTAAAATGAGACCAGGGTTACGGGGAGGTGCAGGGTATCTGGCTTGTTATGTGGATATTGGAACCAAAATTCTCGTCCTCACAACTGTGCAGCAAGCACTCTTAACCAATGAACCATCTTCTCCCTAGCCCTCAATTGTTTAGTGGTTGTTTGGATCAGGGTCTCACTAAAGTCCAGGAACTCATCATCCTCAGGCCTCAGCCCCCAAAGTGCTGGATTACAAGTGTGAACTTTTAGTCTAAGATCCTGGAGCCATTTTGGAATCATTTTCTTTCTTAAGATTTATTTATCAGCCGGGCGTTGGTGGCTCACGCCTTTAGTCCCAGCACTTGGGAGGCAGAGGCAGGCGGATCTCTGTGAGTTCGAGGCCAGCCTGGTCTCCAGAGCAAGTGCCAGGATAGGCTCCAAAGCTACACAGAGAAACCCTGTCTCGAAAAACCAAAAAAAAAAAAAATTGTTTATTTATCATGTGTACAGTGTTCTGCCTGCGTGATTGCCTATGGACCAGAAGAGGGCACCGGATCTCATAACGGATGGTTGTGAGCCACCATGATGTGATTGCTGGAACTTGAACTCAGGACCTCTGGAAGAACAGCCAGTGCTCTTAACCACTGAGCCATCTCTGCAGTCCTTAGAATCATTTTCAACCATAGCAGGCGTCCTGTGCCCTGTGAGATGCTGAGTCGAGTGGAGAAAGGAAACCATTGAGACAGAAACACAGACACACACACACATTCAGATACACAGACATGAGTGTGCACACCTGCGCTCAAAGAAGAAAGGGACAGGACAGGTGATGACCTTGACTTAACAACCCCAAGGAAACACAGGTCAAACTGTGGTTAACAGCTATGTATAAACAGAAATGGACGCAGGAAAATTCAGAGCTCAAGGTCATCCTCCCCTGCCACTGGAGTTGAGGCCAGCCTGGGCTACTGATACCCTGCGTCAAAACAGCACCAGAAAAGAAACACAACGGGGTTGAGACGGCTCAGTAGGCAAAGGTTGAGCCCGACAACTTGAGTTCCATCCCTGGGACCCACATGGTTGGAGGAGGGAACCAGTTCTCATAAGTTGTACTGTTGTGAGTGTACACACACACACACACACACACACACACACACACACACACACACACAGTGGGGAAAAAAACCACAAGTCAGAGAGAGGATGCAGAGACTGGGTGGGAGAGTCGGAATGTCCCAAGGCTCTGACAGGGGCAGCTGAGACAGAGACACGTGCTCTGCCACAAAGCACCTTTGTCTGACCTCACAGACCAGCTAATAAACACTCAAGTGGATGAGTCTTCTCTCCATCCTCAGTACCCTGCCCGCCCTCGGCTCTCTCTGCTTAACCTCTTGTCTTTCAACTCCTCATTCTCCTCGGAAGCATAAAAGCCAGGACCTTGAGAGCAGCCGAGTGCTGTGGACTCCACACGCAGGTTAGAGCCGGGGGCTGGAGGGGCTGAGGGCTACCGCGGTAAAAGTGTCTTGGAGAACGGAGAAAGACAAGCGAGGGAGAAGACGGAGCAGCAAGAGAGATGGGGCGTTGGTGAACGAACTGTCAGTAGGGAGGGTCTGTCAGAGAGGCAGGAACGGAAGGGGGGGTGTGGAGGAGAGAGTGGTATGGTTGAATTCCATGGGATTGGTGGATGGTGTGTCCGAGAAACAAGGGTAAAGGGGGGGGGGAGTTGACTGTGTCTTTTGCTTGTTTTCTTGTTTTGTTTTTTTTTTCTCTCCCTTTTAAAAAAAATCACATTGTTTACTTACTTTGTGTGTTGTGTGCTTGCGATTGTGCCACAGTGTGGTTGTGGAGTTCAGAAGACAACCTGGAATCGGCTCTCTTCCCTACGCCTTGTAGCTCCTAGGACTTGAACTTGGGTCTCTAGGCTTGGCAGCCGTCTTGCTGACCTCTAATGTTGAGACAGGGCCCCATGCAGTCCAGGCTGGCCTCAAACTTGCTGTGTAGAACAGAATGGCCTCGGACTTCTAATCCTCTTGTCTCCACCACCCGGGTGTCGGGGTCATGGGTGTGTGCAGCCACATCCCGCTCTGACGGCCCTTGTTCTGTTCTGGTCTCTGTCTGTCAGGGAAGGTCAGTTGGATGGCTGAGCTGGGAAAGGTGCTTGAAGCTAACCCGAATGGTGTGAGTTCAAATCCTGGTGTCTGCAAGGTGGCGGGGAGACGGCTGGCCTGAAAGTTGACCTCTGACCTCCACACATGTACTGACATTTTCCTTGTGTTTCCTTAATATTTCCTTAATTCCTGCAATATTTACAGAAGCAATCTAAAGTGTGCAGGAGGGGGCTGGAGAGATGGCTCAGTGGTTAAGAGCCATGGCTGGCTCACAATCAGTAATAATTTGGTTGGTGGTAAGTACACGCCTTTAATCCCAGCACTTGGGAGGCAGAGACACGCAGATCCCTGTAAGTTCGAGGCCAACCTGGTTTACAGAGCTAGTTCCAAGATAGCCAGGGCTACATAGAGAAACTCTGACTTGAAAAACCATAAAATAATAATAATAATAATAATAATAATAATAATAATAGTTTCAGATCTAGGGGCTCTGACACCTGTTTCTACGGCGGATGCGTACTGGTTCTGTGCAAACATTGTATATTTCATACAAGGACAGGCAGGGCTGGCAGATTTGGGGATCTGTGGAGAAAGGTCCCATGGGCACGGAAAACAGTTTTACGTATTTAATTGCACATTATCCCTCAACCAACTCTCCCCGCCCCCACAAATCCTTTCCTATTTATTTTTGAGTGCTACAGTGCATGCGTGGAGGTCAGAGGGCAATCTGAGGTCGGCTTCTCACCCTTCACCTTGTTGGATGCAGGGCCCCTGTGAACATACACGGAGTAGCTGGCTGTGAGCTTCAGGACACTTTCCTCACCCCATCAGTGCGGGACAGCCAGGATTACCGACGCATACTCCTGCCCCTGGCTTTTCTCGAAGCTCTGGGGATATGAACTCCAGTCCTCGACCTTGCTAGACAAGCGCTTTGTCTGTCCTCTTAGCCTCCTCCCCGTCCAGTGTGCTCACTCTCTCCCCCACTTTGTTCTAAGATTTATTTTATTTTATCTGGACAGGGTTTCTCTGTGTAGCTTTGGAGCCTGTCCTGGCACTCGCTCTGTAGACCAGGCTGGCCTCGAACTCACAGAGATCCGCCTGCCTCTGCCTCCGCAGTGCCGGGATTAAAGGCTTTCGCCACCACTGCCCAGCCCACTCTTTTCTTCCGCATGGAAGAAACGTCCCAGACTGGGCTAGCAAGACAGCTCAGCAGTAAAAGTACTTGTGAATCCTGATGACCTGCGGTCAGTCCTGGGAACCCGCAATGGAGAGAGAGAATGGTCTCCTAAAAACTGCCCTCTGACCTCAGCACCCGAGAGCTTTACACACACACACCACACTCACACACATCACATACATGTTGAACACACACATATGCACACACCTCTCTCTCTCTCTCTCTCTCTCTGTCTCTCTCTCTCTTACTCTCTCTTCATGCCTTCTGTCTCATATAGTTGTCTACTTCTATTATAGTCTTTCTTTTCATATTTATTCATAACTCTCAGCCTGTACCTCTAGAATGCTGGGATTATAGGCATGCAGCCCAGTCCTTGTTTTATTTAAGCAAATAGTTCAAAATGGAGTTCAAAAGAACCCCTTAAACCAGATGTGGTATGTACCTCTAATTCCCACGCTCCAGAGTGAAGGCAGGAGGATCAGAGTTTGAAGCAAGCCTGAGTTCTAAAAGTCAGCATCCTTTCGGTTTATCCTGTAGCACAAGCCTATCATCCCAGTCACTCAAGAAGTTGAGGCAGGAAGATCAAAAATTCCAACCCAGCTTGGGCTGCAGAATGAATTCGAGGTCACCTTGAGAAAACTAGCGAGATTCTGTCTCAAAATAAAACAAATTAAAAACCCCATGGATATAGATAGCTCAATGATAGAGCCCCTGCCTAGAATCCCCCAGTGAGGAGCTGGGGGCGTGGCTCAGTGTTAGAACACCTGCCTAGAATCTCACAATGAAGGGCTTGGGCGTGGCTCAGTGGTAGAGCCCCTGCCTAGAATCCCCAGTGAGGGGCTGGGGGCGTGGCTCAGTGGTAGAGCCCTTGCCTAGAATTCCCCAGTGAAGGGGTGGGGGTGTGGCTTGGTGCTTGTGTATGAGAAGCCCTAAATTCAGTTTTCATTTACCACCCCCCCCACACACACAGAGAGAGAGAGAGAGAGAGAGAGAGAGAGGTTTCTCAGGGTACTTCTCATGGAGGATTCCAAAACAAACAGATTGAAATGTCATTATTTCTTTGTGGTACATTTAAATTAAAAAGACATTGTCTGTCTACCATTGGTCATAGCGATGATGTCACGCTGTATGCATATGGCCAGACTCATTCAGCTGTAGACAGTATGTGTACTTTTTTTGGGGGGGGGTCTGGGGGCAATTCCATTCAGTAAATTTCTCTCCACCACATCAGAGCTGCACACAACCGTGCTATGTTTCTCTCTGTGTAACCCTGGCTGTCCTGGCACTCGCTCTGTAGACCAGGCTGGCCTCAAACTCACAGAGATCCGCCTGCCTCTGCCTCCCGAGTGCTGGGATTAAAGGCGTGCGCCACCACCAACCATGGAGAATAACACGCCGGCTCTCTTTGCAGCTTTCCTCAGCTGAGTGTGGTGTTCTTCCAGCTTCAGGATGACCTGCTCCCTGCATCTGGTCCTCCTTGTCACCGTCTTGCTGAGTCTGGCAGGAACTCAAGAGTCTGCACCTGTGTACAGGGTAATGCCTTCCCCCTGTTGCTACCCTCTGGGGAGAGGTTTTACTTTTTGTTTTTTCTTTTCTGGTTTGATCCAGGGGCACTTGTGTGTGTGTGTGGGGGGGGGGGGGAGACGGGACAAGCTCAAACTGAGAAGGAAGACAGGAGGTGACCTCCTCAGCTTGGGCCCTGGGAGTGGAGTAGAAGACAGGTGGAAATAGATATTTGAGATTCAGGTTGTTTGGCCCAGTGTGATGGTGCCTGCCAGTCATCCCAGCACTCGGGAAGCTGAGGCAGAAGGGTTGTGAGTTCAAGGCCATTGGACAACACAGTGAGAACCCAGTTGACAGGGTCTCGCTTAGGCAGATTAGCTAAAACCAACTGATGTGACCCAAAGACAGAGTCTGAATACAAACTGAGTTAGGTTCCCGTGGCCTGTGATACAACAAGGCAGCTGCAGCTAAAGGCAATGGCGTTGTAAGCTTGAAAATCGCCAGGAGAGGGGGGAACTGTGGTTGGTGTGTAAAGTGAATAAAAAATTTAAAACCAAATAAAAAGAAGAAGAAAAGACTAATCACCAGGAGAGTAAACTTCAAATGTTCACAGAGCCAGGTGTGGTGATCTCAGCACTCGTAGGCAGACACAGGACAATGAAAAGTTCAAGGCCACCCTGTAATGCCTGGGAAGTTCGAAGTCCTTCTTAGTCTTTTGGCTAAAATCAAGTGTAGCTCGGATTCAAGGTCAGACCGGGGTACATGAGACCCTTTCTCGAATGAGTGAAGACAAAAGTAACAATAAGAAATAGCTTCATTAAGCCGGGCATTGGTGGCGCACGCCTTTAGTCCCAGCACTCGGGAGGCAGAGGCAGGCGGATCTCTGTGAGTTCGAGACCAGCCTGGTCTCCAAAGCGAGTGCCAGGATAGGCTCCAAAGCTACACAGAGAAACCCTGTCTCGAAACACCAAATAAATAAATAAATAAATAAATAAATAAAATGCTAAAAAGGACAAAAAAAAAAAAGACAAAAGATCAGTAATGGGCTCCTTGAGATTGGAAGCCTGACTGACTTTCACACCTATCTCCCTTCCTTT